TACTGTTAATAGCTCGATTAATGTGGCTGGCGATCATCTTGCCGGCGGAAGTTTCATGGAAAAGGCATTAAATTAAAGACTGTTCCCAACATTACCTGATCAGTCTCTGTGGTGTAGTGGTTAGGTGTAGTCGCGACGAGCCGATGGTGCCGGGTTCGAGTCGTACACAACTCTTTTTTTCCTTCTTTCTTTTTTTCCGTTTTTTGTGTTGTTGTTTTCTATAAATATATAGCTATATAACTGTCACTTAATAAAGTGCAATAAACAGCAAGAAAAGTATCGTGTTTCCAGAGAAAAGATAGTACACCGTATATTAAATATATCGATAAACAATCTGAATTTCTATCATTTCCTACAATTTACTGTGGGAAAACCAGAGTTGATAACCACTTGATCATTCTAAACAACGTTCCCGCGAGTTCTCTCTATAGACTGATAGTAATTATTCTAGTACTTTCCAACATGTAAATGGGACATTCAATGTCATTTTCGATTACTTTAAGTCCCATTGCCTAACTAATGCCAGTATCAACAGAATGTGCCGCAGCATTACTGTCTTTTAGATACCCTAGTACTTAAAATCGGCGCTCTGGCCTGTTATGCTTGAGAAAGCAAGAAAAGCTTTTGATGCTGAAAGCTTTGGAGAAATGGTGTAAAATGTTTTCCAAGTTCACCATTGTTAAGTTAAGATCGCTTTGAGTGGTGAAAAGAGGTCATGCAAGTCACATAGCTCTGATATATAGCAAACAGTTGTTTTCCCAAATCATACCCTGTGAGCAGGAAGTTGCTGGACATAGGTTTGTTTCTTATAATAGTCAAGCTCTATCAGCCTTGAACACATCAATCAAGCAACTATGATCCAATATCCTCATGAAACACGCTGCTTTTAAGTATGATCCAGTTTTTTTGGTTTAGATTTCCTATCAACCGAATTTGAATATTCATGCAATCGCAATGTCTCACCAGGTATGAGCCGACAACTGCTACAGTATTTACTTAGTACCCATGTGATTATTCCTCCTTACCTTACTCTGGCGTTCGTTTAAGATATGTCTATGTTGCAAGTGGAAAATAGTGCGTGACTTACGAAATGCTGTATTCTTAAACCTAAGCAACGTTTGGAATTAATATGCCCCCCAAATTTTCTGTTTCACCAGAAAATGATTTTCTCTTTAGTCGCGAACACTATATGTCTGAAAATTATAAAAATGAACTCGTTCAAAGAGTGAGTAAGCCGTCCGGCACACACCAACAGTGCAGCGCTTCAAAATTTGCTAAGAGACAGAGACAAAAGGGAATACGTAAAACTTTCTTACTTGAAAGGTAGCTGTCCCACATCCACTGTTAGTATTAAATTAACTTGAACAGGACGAGTTATCACTCTACTTCGACAAGACTAAGCCGGTGCGCATAAGAAGCAGTGAGGTATAGTGGTTCTGAACAATCGACAGCGTTGTGACCAGTGTTCCACTTCACATCCAATGCATGACCTCAAGTATTCATTCATTTTGGGTAGCATGCCATTAGTGAAACAATTATTCATTTTATAATCACTGGATTTGGCTGGATGAGCGTATGACTTACGAAACCTCTGTGATTAAATTTAACACGCAACTAGAATTTTTCATTTTTATATGCCATATTTCTTGGTCAAGCAACTAATTTTAGTTAAAGATGGTTCACTTGGGGAACGCTTTAAGAAGCCTGTACCCGCCATCTTTCCCTCTTCATTTTCATTAGTCATCAAAATACAAGAATTCTTGGGCGGAACTCCGGAGAAAGGAAGCTGCAGACAGTCTGATTGGAAGCGCTGCGTTTCCCAGCGTCGTTGACTATACAGCACATGCTGAACCGAAAAAACATGACAGAAGATAGAATTTCCTTTTTAGATAGACTTTACGCGTGTGAGAACGAGTAACTGGCGGTTTTTAAGATGTGTTTTTTCTTTTGTGGTTCGTAAAGTAAAGATTCAGCCACGCGATTCTGTTTCGACCTCGGTTCAGCTTCCGCGCGGCTTTGCGAACCACAAAAGAAAAAACATCTCAAAAACCGCCAACTACGCAGGCTCCTTACAAGGACAACCTGGGTAAACAGTTCTAGGAAAGTAGGGAAATCAGTTTCCAACATCTAAAAAGTTCATGAACTTAGACCTGTTTGGCCACTTTTAGAGCTTGAGACGACTGAATCCAGTATTTTTAATTTTATGGTGATAAACGTTCGTATAATTCATGCTCGTGAAACGCAACCTACGCACTACAGTTAACTTCCTGCCGAATTGAGGAAGTAGAAAACTGTTACAAGCACTGAATCAAATACCAAGTGCAGTGTCATGCTTCACAGTTAACCGAACCGCTTTAACTATGTTGCAGCATTCTAAAGTAAAGAGCTTGATATAAGGTCTCTCACAACAAGACAAGAAAGAGATGAATTTTTCAAAGTATTTAAAAAATGTCCAAAGTTTTAGTAAAGCCAAAAAAACTACACCCACAAACTCCAAAAACGTTTTGAAGTGTTGCTCAAAAGCTTGGTCACTGGAGTATGCAGGCATCCACACTTTCAGGAAAAATCTCCACCAGTCATCACGTAAGTGATATTAGATCCAAAATAAATGTCATATTGTCACTGTGTACCAAAATATGAACAGCACCATAGGGTTTCATCCACAATCTCTCCACCAGTGTTGCCGCTTTGGGGTAGAAATTCAGGTTGAGAAAAAATACGTGATAGGTCCGGGTTGGGATTTTTTTTCTTATATAGGTAAATTTTCAGTAACATCGTCTTGAAAACTTCGCTGAAGCTAAGTAAGACAAACAGGTAAGTTAATGTACGTTAAATCGTGACGAGTTAACGCTCTTTGCAACATCTCAGTTCAATATCCGCTTTTTCGTCACAGCAACCAAAAAACTACTACGTTTATCAGACTCGTCATACGTGTCTGGATGCGGGTATTAAGTTATACGCCTACGCTCTAGTTTATATATTCAATAGAAGTTTCCATCATTAAACAGAATCCTCTAAAATAACCAACGAAACGAGGTGAAATAGCTGCTCGCAAGAATCAGTTTCTCTTTTCTCAAAAATTACACAATCACTAGATTTATTGAAGCGCATCAGATGGATCACACGCAAAAAAGTAGCCAATCTTGGGTAAGTTTAATGCTAGTCGTGTGAAACTCAAATGCAGCTATGGCAGACTCGTTTTTCGTTTGTCTCACGATAGTCATGTGTCGTTGCGTTTCTTCCGCCCACTGCTAACGTTCCGCCAATGGTGTGGATTTGCTTTGCGGGTTTATTGATGGCTGCCCTGACTCCGTAGTTGCTAGTAATTAGTGCATCACCATCTTCATTCTTGGTTGATGGTTTTCGATCCTGAGCTGCTTAGAAACTGTTTCCTCAGCTGTCCGCTGTGGTGACGATCGGCTGCTATGTTGTCTGATCGTGGGCATCGGAAAAGGCTGAGGATGAAGTTCGTAAACTCTGTATGTTCCAGTCATGTTGCCGCATTCGCGTGAAATCTTATAAACTGCTCGATCTTGCTTTCGTTAGAAGAAAGCATAAGACTGCGAGCAGTCTTTTATTTTTTTCAAAACAGTTTCATAGTTACTGGGGTAGCACGCGCGAGCCGCGAGAAACGTAAAAGCGTTTTTTGACCCTGCGCGCTCACTTTCTGGGAACTCGACAGATCTAAGAGAAAAGGCGGACTGCAGGCAGTCTAAAATAGCATTAGTTTCCACAAATTGTGATCTAGGTGTCGCTTCAGTCTTGAAGACAGCCCGCAAGCCATGTTGATGTAGCCAACAAGAATTGGTTAATTCATGAGATGAAAATATAGGTACTTTTAACAAATAATCAGGAGTGTTCCACAGGGGTCTGTGATTGGCCCACTTCTTCACTCGTCATTTGTACTTCACCTGTTGGTTAGAATCTGCCAGTGAGCATGATCTTGTCTACTATGTATGCCAACAATAAACAGAATCTATTTGTCATTCAGCAGCAAAAGTCAGCAACCACTGGCAATTTGAAATCGCGCTTTGAACATCGTGATATTAAAGACAGTTAAAATTTAACACTAAGTTCAAGTTCAAGTTAATTTCAGTATTTTTAATAGAAAATTTACAAAACTACTCTACCCACAAATAGTAAGGCTAACGTAGGTGGGTAGAGAAAATCAGACAGTTTTAAAGCACTAAAAATCTAAAGAAATACTAAAGGAAATAAATGAAGTAAGTACCAATTTGTTATAAGTTGGACTGCAGTAAAGGCGAAAGGCTTAAACAGTTCTCACAAGGTTTTTTTTATTCTTTTGAGAATAATAAGTGCTTCAACGTAAACGTCCTCAGTATGCACAAGAGATAATATGAATTCTTAAACATAATTTTTGAAGGCTTTTTTTGGATAGTGGCGTATTCGGCGAGGATGCTGTTCCATAACTTGGATCCAGATCTGTTGAAAGATCTGCTGGCAAAACGACTGAGCCGCATCTCAAAATCTTACGTCGACGCCATATGTGGGTTGAGTTTGTTGTTGGTTCTCTCCCTTACTCCGAAAGGTTTTTCTCCTTGTACTCCGGTTTTCCCCTCTCTTCAAAAACCAGTATTTCCAACTGAATCCCAAACGATCAGGAATCAGGTAGACGAGGAACCACTTAGAGGATGTGCTACCTCTAAATTATTATTTATTTATTTATTTATTTATTCTTCACAGCTCAGTGGATAAGACCACGTCCCCTTCAGTAGTGCATCGGACTGCGTAATTTAGCCTAAATGTGTCAGGCTCTCAGAGACTAGGGACGTCGAGAGAGTTTTTACTATACGATCTCTGCACATTACTATCTTAGAGCCTGGAACTTGAGGCTACGTAAAACTGTACTCTCGCAGTCCGGGCCGTAACCAGAACTGGATATATGATTTCCTGTAATCTGATCGCCTTGCACAAAACCAAAGCATTGCCTAGATCGCGAAGGATTAAGACCTAGAGGAATAGCGAACATAAATAAATCCATGGCGGCTGCGGCGATACTGGACGATGTGGAAAGCCGCTGTAAAGAAAACATTCTCATGAAACGATGGAATCATATATCCTTCCAATAGTATCGATCTCTCGACTTTTGGGACCTGTGGAAATTCGACTGCGAAGTCGTTTTCCTTATATACATTTCCTTTACTACGTGACTAGCAGAAACTCGCGAACAATAAGCTTTCAGCAACCCTGTTTACGACTTTTTTTGTACGATGCGTCCGTCCCAGGGATCCGTCCTCCTCACAAATCAGAATTTCGCTCCCAAGCTCGGTAAAGGTTCAATGTTTCCTCGATTTCAGGAAATGCTTTTCTATTTCTCAGTACTTAGCAAGGGTCTCCTACTTTTCAAGGTTTTTTAATGCGATTGGCCTGCTTGGCTTAAGGAACGCTGGTTTGTCTTTATTCGTATTTGCACGGTTGATTTCGCAGACGACTGATGTTCCTCTGCCGCAGATTTTTTGTTAACTGACGAAATATTTTGGTTTATTTACTGATCCATTTAGTTGTTTCAATCTACTTTAGAGAGAAGTAACCAGCTGTTACGCGATTCAGTCAATCGTAAGAATAAGTCAAAAAGGCGAGAATACTGAAAGTGTTGGTAGCCTTTTGAGAGCTCATACAAGAAGAAGAACCTCACGCAGTATCAAAGAACGATCGGATATGCTGGTGGACTTCACGGGAACTGATTTTAGTGATCCAAAAACAGGTATTCATGCAACAGTTCTCCTAGAAGATGCATTCAAAGGTGGATTTCCACTGTCGCGTAATTTTTACGTACGAGGTACGTAAGCACGTAGATTTTACGCGCCTAAAGAAACCGCGAGGCAGGTATGAAGTGTCGCGCGTAAACGTAAAAGTTGAGCGAGTTTCACCTTCCATGTTTACGCGCGACCTTTCATCTACTGCCTCTATATTATTTACGCACGTCTAGTAATACGCGCCTACGCTTGTAAAAATTACCCGAAGGGGAAATCCACTCTAACAAACGTAATGAGCGGTAACAGTGTTGGTCCGATCAGTACTTCGAATTTACTGAAGAGCGCACTCTTGTTGTGGGAAAAGTACTGAGCTATTAACAACAAAAACAACAACAACAACGATGATTGGTAGTGTAGCTTGAATAACTGAAAAGCTACTACAAGCATATATGCATATGAATCTAGAAAAAATGGAACTAAATTGTATCTGTTATGGTGTGCAATGCGGTATTACTGACCGACGCGAGTCCTACAGAACTTACCGTGGCTCTCTTTTCGCGCTGATTCGAGAACTGATTTGCTCATTTTTGTGTGAAGTGTTCAGTTTTCAGAATAGCTGATTTGATTTTCGTTCAATGGAACCCAAAAAAGCGCTGCATTTTCACTCATTTGAACTCCCGGAGGTTAATGTCAAAATTGGTCAAAAGTGAGGAAAAAAACCTGGTGTTCGCTTGCCTATTCCGATCTGGTGTATATTAAATAATGACGTCAGAGGCTTATATTTAGTAGTCCTGCGTCCCTTTATACCCGACCATTATCTGGGGCCGCGCTTCTAATCCACATTTTGCAATGATATATCATCCGACTAATTCTAGGTTATAAGTGAAAAGGCTGTTTGAGCCTCTTCTATCCAGTTGTACCAATTATTCTTTTAGTATTTTTCGTGGAAAAGAGTCAGGAGGAAATGGCGGATGTGTTGAGATACCGTGCGAGGGGAAAAGATTACTATCTGTGTGTACACGACAGCGGCGAAGTCAAACTTCATGTAAGTTGAACAATGCATGTACTAATGAAGATCTCTGCTTGCTATTCCTCTAACTGATATGAGACATACACAAAAGGCGCATGCGTGATGCATGCGCAGTTAGCATAACCTTTTCCGGTCTTAGTTTGTCTTGTTTTTTTCCAGTGTTCCAGTGTCATACTTCCCGGTGCAAAAATAGCTATTCCGGTACTCAATGTACCCCTTTCGGATCCCTAATGAAATGGTTTCTATCACCTGCTACAATGTAACGATAGCGACTTAATTTAGTCGAAATGATTGGTACGTGAATACCATACAGAAACTGGACTGATAGCTGTGAACTTAAATCCGCTCTTACACTTACATTAGCATGCATTTAATCGCAATTTCTTCTGTCAACAGAAATTGATACAGTTTCCTAGAAATAACAAATACTTCTTTCTCATCGAGAAGATCAATAATGGATTTGAATCTCCAGTCACTTTTAAATCACTGAAGACCAAGCAGTATCTCTACTGTGATGAGCACGGAAAGGCTTTTATGGGGAACGCAAACTCTAACGAAGGGCCCAGAGATCGCCAGGCATGGTTCACTTTCATAGAACACAAAGGACACATATTGCTGCCGCATGCTAATGGTAACGGTGTCGAATCAGAAGATGACAATGTGCATGCAGATATGGAGGACGGAAATTCTAGGGATTCGGGAAGAAGAAACTTGGATATTCTAGAAATGGATATGTACAGGGAACGCCGTGAACACAGCTCAGAAATTATAATCTACGTATCAGCAGTATAACCCAGTTGTGTTTACTACGAAGACCTGCTCATTTTTAAGAAGTAAACTCCTTTTTTCACGGAATTTTGAGCTGTTTTGAAGAATTTCTTGTGTGCACGGTCGCGTCTCTCATTTAAAAGTAGATAGTACGAAGTTGTTAATAGCGTCACTATTTCTTGACTAAAACACCACACGGATACATACGAAAACGAGTAACATACGGATGCATACGAATACATACGAGTAACATACAAGTAACATACGAATAGATACGAGTAACATACGGATCGGATACACAAGAATACGCATACGAGTTACATACAAGTAACGTACGAATGAAAGTAACAATACGGATGCATACGAGTAACACGGGGAACATACGAATACCTTTTTCATTTTTTAAAATAATTTGCAGTTTAAGTAATTTTCAAAAGTGTAAATGAAGCAAACCATTGAAATATTCATTTATAACAGTTTTCAACAGTTTCTTAAAATAGAACTTAAGCGGTTATTCATATCACACAATTTCTTAAACTCGTCAAGGTACCTCACATCTCCCTACTGCCACCACCCCTATGTATTCATATGCACCCTTAGGCTACTTGTATGTACAGATGTATTCGTATGTTATCCTTATTTATATAACTGAACACCAATGAAACACCAGGTGAACTTTCGCGCGAAAACACGATATCTTCATAAGTGAAAATAGCATGTTATCTTCACACGCGAAATATCACCGTTGCTATGGCTGCATAATAAATCGCGCCTTTCACAGCAAAAACATATTAAAGTGAAATGGTTCGGTATTTCATTGGTGTTTATATAATAAATAGAACATTACATGGCCGCTTAGAGATACGAAATTTCTCTTCTCGTGTTAAAAAATATTTCCTTTTACAACACTCGAAGAGAAAAATTTCAGTCGTATCTGATATGAATTACGTAAGTTACATTTTGAGAAACTGAAACTGTCTCATGAATATTTCAATGGTTTGCTTCATTTACACTTTTCAAAGTTTCTTAAACTGAAAATTATTTTAAAAAAATGAAAAAGACGTTCGTATGTATCCGTAATATCTCTCGTATGCATCCGCATGTTATACTTGTATGTATCTGTATGTTACCCATATGTTACTCGTGTGTATTCGTATTTAACCGTATGTTACTCGTATCCATCCGTATGTTACTTGTAGGTACCCGTATGTTGTCCGTGTGTTACTCACATGTTACCGGTATGTACACGTGTGGTGTTTTAGTTAGAGATCCACTATTTTTCAGTCGAAAATCTAAGCGTCCTTTCAGTAACAGACTTTGAAAGCAGGTGACTCAAGTAGGCCTTTCCCGATTGCGCTAGTAAAATCCTAAAAAAGTGCTGGCAAAAATGGCTAAAAAGTGCTCAAAAAGTGCTCAAAATCTCCAAATAGTGCTCAAAAAGTGCTAAAAGTTGTGAACAGATACCTCTAAGCTTTTCGTAAATATGTTAATTTTTACTGAAGTAATTAACAATCTATTTTGCGTATTGTTATTCGACAGGTTGTTACGAAAGGTTGATAGAATATAGAACAATAATATTTTTAAAAAACTAAAGCCGGTTACGAATTGTAAATAAATTCAGCAGTACTAGTGCAAAGAAATTTGAGATGACACAAGGATGATACATCAGCCAATCAGAAACTTCTGTTCTCACGCTCAGTAAGGATAAGTCCACGTGCGTTTCCATGACAACGGTCGTTTATTCTTGACAACATCATTAGTTATTCAAAGTTATGACCTGGAACACGATTCTCGTTGCGAGCGACACACAGTTTTTGCTTTAAAATGTTTTAGAAGACATACCGTATGTTGCTCGAAATTTGCTCGAAATGTGAAATATTGCTCAAATGTTGCCCAAAGTGCGAAAAAGTGCTTAAGGGTGCTCAAAATACAAAATAGTGCTCCAAACTCAAAAAAGTGCTCAAAAGGTGCTCAGCGCAATCGGGAAAGGCCTAGACTCAAGCCATGGCTTTAAAAGTCTCAAATAAAAGGAATGAAAATACTTGCAAAGAGGTCAGCATTTTATTGAGAAACTTGAAACTGACGTTATTTTACGTTATGAAACCTGATGATCTGAAATCAACCATGCCCATCTTAAAAAGTGTTGTGGGCCAGGGGTGTGGGGGGATGGAGACTAAGGGGCTAAAGCCCCCTTAGCCCTACCCTCTTCGCGGCCCCTGTTGTAGATCATAGTAGAAAATTCCCTAGAAATAAGGTTACCATGGCTCGATGCATTTCCTTCTCCGCATATCTTTGAGGTGCGCTAATCATACGGCAAAGGGTGGGTCGTAAAATAACACCCGCCCGCTGATTTGTTCTTTTCAGTCTAAATATATTACTTATTTATAATACTCCGCCACCGTGCTTCTCAGAGGTGCAATGTTATTAACGTTAGGCTTAATTTAGAACGAATATATTTGCTTGTGAATAAACCAGAACATGTTTCGACTTCCCAATTCTTTCCAATATTGTTTTATCGTATTGGACTTTGCTGACTAAACCTACAAAGGCTCATTTTTCTTTGACGACAAATAAAAAGAATATAATTCTAATGATTGTCAGAGTGCGAGTATTGTTCTCTTTTTACCGTTACTTTTCGTTCTCTAGTATATTTAAGTTGACGTCAAACTGACAAATAATCATTTACGAGATTTACTATACTCTTTTTAATTTCGGTTTAAGTGAAGGAGGATGAAGAGGTGACTCACTATCTGGAAACTGCTTGTGGTGAAATGTTGTTGGGAAACTTTTTCACATTGTAAACAACTGCTGCGCTTTTCCTGCGTCGCTCGCCTGCCTATAGCCCGAGCGAGCTACCAACAAAACCTAAAAAAAAATCCCTGTATTAAGAATATAGCCCTCCAAAATCCCATGCGTTAAATATTAAAACAGTCGCAAAACACAAAGTTTGGTTGTATCTTATTCGCAGAACTACGAGGTCGGGATACTCGGGCATTTTCAGATTGTTTTTAAGACCCAATCCCTACTTAAATCAAGTCCGCCCCTCCAAAAATACTTGCCAAGTTCTCCAACCCCCCCCCCTCTACACACCCACACACACCCACACACAACCAAAAAAATCCCGGCATTTAAAATTTCCAAAAAATCCGTCGATCATCCGATCCCCTCGCTACCCTTTACCTGGAGCCTCTTAGTGTTCCCCGATCTTCCCCACCGCTACCCTCTTTACTACTTTTTCAACTATCCCTTGTTTCCTTTTTCCTGGCACCTTCGTCAGTATTCCTGATAGACAGCTACTTCAGCAAGAAACAATGTTTAAAGCGTAGGCTAGGTGGAATGTTAAAAAATCAGGGTTTGTGTTCCAATTGTCCCCAGGCTTTTTAGGCAAGGCATTAGCCCACATTGCCCCCGCCCCCCACCCTCGAACGGTTGACGTTGCGAGGTGGGGCGAAGACTACCCAATTCCCAGAATTCATCATCTTCACTGCGACTTCCTGCTTCCTGTTATGGCTCAACCAATTCGTAACTGATCTATATCATTTGGCTTGTTTATTCAGGATTGTGAGGTATCCTGTCCATTTCAGCCAATGAAAGATGCAGAACGCTGTTCTAATATAATCGACAGAATTTTCGTCAGTAAGGCTTCGACTGTTAGAGCACGAGGAGTCCATAATTCGTCCTTTCAAGCATACCACTACTGATCTGATGAGATCCGATGGCACATGATCGACACACTTTTAAGGTATTTCTTGCCTTGGTCTTCTTGGGTGCAGGTAAGAATTAAATAACAGAAAAACTGGAGTTGTCAGTCGGAGACTTAAGTGCTAAGTTTTAGTTAATTAATTAGTTCAAACTTGTGCTCCTCTTTCAAGCAATCAGCTGTCCACTAGCCAGGGGCACCCACTGACCAACGTTTTCTCTATGCGTTTGAAGCCTGTTTATTATAGTTAATTCAGAGTTGCCCTAAAAACACCTCTATTCAGGGAACACCCTCGAGGCCAAGACAAGTGTCCCCTGAATGGAGGTTGGGCTGGGGGTTGTTAATAATTAACCAATAAATTAAATATTTTTATGAGAGGCGAAAAAGGTGTCCACTCTCGCAGGATGAGAATGTGCTGCAGTCATGACATTATTTCAAGCAGCTGGATAATGTATAAAAAACAATGATGAACTTATCTTTGTGATGTTGTGTGTTGAATTACAATAAATGTATGTGAGTTAATTCATGTTTTGAAAATTCTCGCCAAAGTGACTAGCAAACACTTAAGGTGTTCACTGAACGGAGGTTCAACCCAGGTTTCAGGACCCAGAAAAACTGTCTCTTTCCCCTGAACAGAGGTGTCCCTTCAACAGAGGAAACAAATACAAAGATTTATATAAGAACATTTTTTCGTTGACCAAATTATGGAGGGGTCCCTTGAATAGAAGCGTCCTAAAGGAGAGGTTCCACTGTATTTGTATGGTTTTTGATTGGTACATACACCACTGTCCAAGCCCACTCACAATTAAGAAGATCCAAATAAATTATCTCTTTTTTCAAACACAAAGTCTGAAAATTAAATATAAATGGGCAAAATTGCTAGTTATTAAAAGACTTTTTGATGGTGTTATTCTTTCTAGGGACTAATAGACAAAATAATTAACTTCCCTCATGATCGTACTACACCATTGTTGCTATATTATGACACTAATGATCCCGGAGAACAAAAGGACTCACAGGGGACATAGATGCTCACTGAAAAATTGGAATTAAACCCCTAAAGGAGACAGGCCCGTAACCAGGATTTTAGGTGGGGGGTTGCTGACGAGGCCAAAGTGGACCAAACTACCGAAATGTATTTTTTATTTTCTGATCCGTTTATAAACAATGCAGAATTGTTAAGAAAACAACTGTCGGCTTTTCATAGAATATTGTCATGACATCAGGAAATGACGATAAGAGACCAAGAGAAACATAAAATGTATTTTCCCTCTTTGTGTCTCGAAAACGTCTATTTTGATGGTTTGGGATGCCTGTGGATTGCTGCTTTAGATTAAACCTCCCAGTCCCTCTCCAAATTGTTACTCTGTGTTCCCTCACTGGCTTTTTATTAAGCGAGTTTGTTTCATATCGAGGAATAGCGACTAATTTTCAGAGCATGAATGGGATCAAGACTGGTGGACATTGAGAAAATAAGTATGATTTACCTTCCATATCTCGCTGTAAAGCTGTAGTTAACTGAGATAGATCTGAAGTCGTGGTGTCAGCTGGGCTGTCATCGTAGACTGCACTGTCATTGTCAGCGTCTGATGGCTCTTGACGGGGTACTTTACTGACCCATGTGTCGACAGACTGGCAAGATTTAGCTGCGGCCTTCCTCTTTCTATTTTCCTGTTCTCTCCTACCCATAATGTATTACACAAAAAAATAATTTTGCATCTTCGGGCGTTCATGCGCTCGTACAAGAGAGAATACTACCCGACACGTTAGCCGACGTGTCTGACAAAAATCGTGAGATCGCTCCCTTGTCATTGGCTTGCTCATCGTAAACTCCCATGCAAAGCGTGCGCACATTAATTTCATTCATTTAGATAAGCTCAGACATCTGTTCGCTCATTAAAATGTTCTGAATGGCTCGGGCTACTAGAGTGCAGCTGGTTTTATTTTCCCAGTGAATATACTACTGCTTTTTCCATTCTTTGATTTTGTTTAAATATCACCTTTAAGTTTGAAACTTCAGTTTAACCAACTGCACTCCTTAACTTAGATATTGATCGGACCTTTGGGGCCTGTGGGGTGGGGGTGCGAATGCACCCTGTGCACCCCCCTGGTTATGGGCCTGTTGGAGACTAACCTTGAAGTAGCTTTCTTATCAAGATTTATTTGACAATACACCTTGAAGCTGTCCATAAAAAATTATAGAAATAACCGTGGCCATAATAAGCTAAGTATTGTTTTACAATTATTGCAATAAAGATGTTTTTCATCATCATTTCTTCTATTCCTTCATGCTCAGCCTGACATACTTGCCTTAGCCTGCGAGCAAGCTCTCCTGGACGCTCTGGCGGCGGGGTGGGAAAAGGAAGGAGAGCTTGCAACTAGGTCTCTGGAATTTGAATTACACGTTTAATTTTCCTGTGGCTCCCTGTCAACTGAGCTGTCAGATTTTCGCCAATCAGCATGAAGCAGAAACAAATGGGAATGTAAACAAACATTGAAAAACACACGCCAAAGGTAATGACATCATAATACTAATGTCATCTTCGCCAATCAGCATTTCGCATCAACTTTTTCGATGCAGATGTATATTCAAATTCCAGTGACATAGTTGCAAGCTGTCCTTCTTTTTCCTGCCCCGCTACCAGAGCGCCCCGGAGAGCCTGCTCACAGACTATACTTGCCTCTCCATCCTGAACTCCCGAAGTGATATTTACACCCCTAATTGAGACAATCCTCCGAGCTTCGACCCTGCCCTGCTTATAATTAAACAATCAGTCCTCACCTCAGGAAAATGAGAACTTATAATAATCCTTCAGTTCTTTAAATGCTTTTTAATTTTGACTTAAGTTACTTGACTTAAGAGATTTTTAGCCTACAATTAATACTCTTGGGTTATTTGTTTTTGAGGTACTTAGGTACTTTTTCTGGAGGTTAATTACTGTACATAAATTTAATGATTACAAACTCTGAACTTGACCTTGAATACACTAGCTGACTTGCTGATCATGCGAACACAGTCAAATAATTACTAATTCTACTCATTTGCAGGAGTGATTCAGGTTGTACCAGCTGTCAGAATAATCAGTCCAACAGAAAATCTGATCATCAGATTCAGAAACCAGACAGTCTTGTTTAACTGTACATTAACTGGGCCACCCACTCCTAGTGGTGCAAGGTTTCTATGGCTCAGAAACAACCATGTAATTCCCAATAGAACTCAAAAGGATAATTCTAGCTGGTCAAGTTTTGAACTGAAAAATTTCAGTCCACAAGATGAAGGAGAGTATATGTGCATCAATGGTGGGACAAGTTCAGTGAACGTGTACCTTGCTTGTATGTATATTAAGTTGAATTGTGTGGTTGATGTTTAATTTAATGCAGTGAGGGGTGGGGCTGGGGATACTGTTGTGGTATAAGATAATTTTTATTAAAATTTCCAAGCATTTAATCCCCCTGCAAGAGTTGTAGTTAACCATTTAAGGTTAAGACAGACTTGCCCACTAAGGTTTTCCCTGATCGAGAACAGCGTCTAACCAGAGTGGACACAAATTATTGTGACAGCAGTGGTGGATCCAGGCTGGGTTCTTCCTAATTTTTAGACCGAACTGAGGCCTGAAGGGCCTGAAAAATTTTTTTTGAGACTGGCCCCACCCTCTTATCTCAGGGTCGAGATGACCACATCCCCCCCCATCTGAAGGTCAGGATCTGCCACTGGACAGTGCTTGCATTTCGCATCCAGTTCATTTTGCAACCACATAATAGGCCATGTAGGGACTGGCCTATCAGTGGCTGGTCAGTGGCTGGGACTGTCTGGCAGCTGTATGTCTGATGAAAAGCATGGAGGTACAGAGGGAAGGCAATTTGTTATTTTTAAGTTAATTATAATGATGATTGCAGAGCATAGGAGGAAGGAATGCCTCCGGCATTTTTAAAGCTGGTAAGGATGGAGAAGGTAATTGAGTTTAAAAAGATCGAGCCAACTCACCTTTAGGTAAAATGAGCCTGGTAGTTAATAATGCAAGTGCAGCTAGGTGTAAATTATCTGACTGTGTTACTTGAATCGATACTTGAACTCTAACTGATGGCTACAGCACTTTCAGTCATTGTCGACCTGCATCCACACTTGCAAATTAAACCCAGCAACCAGTAAATCTTCTACTTTGTCCAGTGACGCAAATATCAGCTTTTGTTGTATTTTAACTTTTACTGAAGCAGAGTACCTAACATATGTGCATTAAGTTCAACAGTATCCAAGATAAAAATGAATTAGGACAGCTAACCAAAACCAAAAGCACCCTCCACAAATAAATCAATGTTAATGTTTAATTTTCAATGAGAAAAAGTGTGTTTACCACAGACTGGATTTAGTGTTTTTCTAGTCTAGAAGCCACCAACTGCAAGGTCTTTAGAAAACCTGAAGTAGCAGATTTTTTTGTTCTTTGTTTAATCCCTTGTGTCAAAACACCTTTACACTTACTTGCAAAGAAGCAAAATAAACAAATGAGACCTAGCGGAATTAAGAGCAAATACAAATTCTAGCCTTCATCCAGTTACATGTTCATTATTATAAGTTCCAGATCGATGCAGATGCGCTCCATCATTAGGATTAAATGGCATTTAGAGAGTGCATATATATGTTTGCTCAGAAATCTCTTCAAAGCGTGGCAACAATAAAGAAAAACGAAAAAGGAAATAATGATGAACTACAGCTTGAAAGATAATCCAAATGCATTAGTCAAAGAAGAATTCCAGCAGAAACCTCCTCAGTTACATTGTTGGTCATTTTTCATAATATATTCAGTGCTTATTAAGCCATATGGCGTACGTATATGCCATTTTCTTTCGTAACCTGTTTGTTAAGATTACTAAGTAAAATAGTTTTAATTAGTAGCTGGGTTAATAATAAACTGCTTATCACAACTTATTGTTTGTTGATTATTTTAACAGCCGTACCAAAGGTGAAGCAAACTGGTGGACACGTATATCTCCCTTATACTGCAGGCAGAGATGTAACAATTGAGTGTGAAGCTCGGGGGTGGCCAAGACCAAAGATCACATGGTTGAGGGACAACAAAAGTATAGCAGACACAAACCATAACTCTCAATACTCGGTAAAAACGATACCAAAAAAGGATGTCAGGGTAATTACCTCACAATTAATAATACTTGGTATCCAGAAAGAGGATAGCGGAATCTACACATGTAAAGCAACAAATGCACTCAAAGTTGTTACAAAGAATATAACGGTCTCAGTTGAAGGTAGGTAGTCTCTCCTAACTATACTCTATCCCTTTGCACACCTTCCCCAAGTTCTTTGCCAATACTTTTCCAAAGCAGGCTCTTTCCATGCCTCTGTTTTTATCCTTCTTTAATTTCTATGTTATACACTCCATGAAACCGTTATAAGAGATTAATTTGAGGAACATGTTTTCCTCAGCTTTTTTGTTTTTCGTTACTGGTTTTTATTTTCGTTCGTTTTCTCGTTTCCCCTTTAATTCAATCCGAATACAGTTCGGTCATGAATTTTTGTGTCTGCCCTACGTTTAATGGATTACATCATGTGGCATGACAATTCTAGCCTGCGAACAGGCTCCCAAGTAGAGCTAGGCGCAAAAACTGAAAAATCGGCGAACGAGCTCGCCGATTTTGTTACTTGGGAGCTTGTCCGCAGGCTATGGCAATTCAAATGAAAGATCTTCAGCAGTGTTATTTATTTATTTATTTTTTTTTTGCGTGGTACTCCTGACCCATTTACTCAATAAGGAGCCACACAAAACAGAAAATCACTTAAACTAGCGCTGCCCTTAAAGAAGTACCTTGGGGCACTGAATGATATTAAACGCCAGGGTAATATAGGGCAGATACAAATCGATACGAACCCTCTTCCAAATGAATTAAAATAAAATCAATTTATTATGACGTTTTGAAGCTTAATTAAAAACAAGTAAGTAAAAATGTTATTTTGGTGAGCACTGCTGTAGTTTGTTTGAAGTGCTATTTCTATTCCGGTTATAATCCCCCTCGGATATAAGCCCTCCTAACTGCCCTTGTATAAACCTAGGGCTTATAAGCGGCGGTTTACGCTACGTTTGTCGTGCATTTTTTGGTGCTGAGTGCTGCAGTTTAGAGATGAAAGACCTTAAGTATCTGTGTCTTTCCCCTGCACTGATTCCCGCTTCTAGTCGAGAGTAGACCTTAGTTTCCTTTTTACGTTTTACATTCCGGAGTTTTATTCAATGTTTAGAACCAGAGCACTTTAAAATCACACTGACTGCAGAGGAGCCACAATATACTGAGGAAGTTGGCAAAGATGCATCTCTGTCCTGTCTTGGTGAACCAGTCAAGAATGACTCCCTTACTTGGGTTTACTGGGAGTTAAATGGAACAAGGCTGAAAACTTCAACTCACCACTACGATGATTCCAGAGAATATTCCAACTCAAATAATGGAGCAACACCTAAAGTTCACATGAAACTTACAATCTTCAACGTTGATTATTCGGATGAAGGAAACTACACCTGTGTTGTTTATTTGTTTTCGGAACGTGTTAGTGATAGCATTTCACTTCAGATCAAAGAACTGCAGAAAGGTATAAAATAGATATGTACAGCGGCTTAGCTTAGGCCATTTCTCTCTTATAAGGGGAACTTTTATCATAGACATGGGAAAATCCGGAGATTGTGGTTGGAAAAGCAAATGATTTGCGCCATTCCGTTTGGGGAGCTTCAAAAACCGTGACTGTGATTTGAGGGGATGCAATATTTCTACTCTTTTTTGTCTGTTCAGCTGATTTCGATATACATTGTAGCGGGTCGTTCTTCTGCCACGTCAGATTCAGATTTCCACTTGGGTGGTTATGGTAAGCACACCAGGACTGGGTTTAAAGGCCTCAGGGCAAGTGTGTATCAGACTTTTAGGCTATTTATTGATTCATTTCCGCGCCAAAAAAAGCTAAAAGACCAATCAGAGAAGAGTACTGGGATTTCCAACCAATAAACAGTTCAGGCGAAGGCGAAATGACAAGCTTAGGCACTTGAACCCATTCATCGGGTAGTCATTCAACTTTATCTTCGAGTTCGCCTTCAGGTTCTAGCTAAAAAAAAAGGATTTCCTAAGTGATGAATGCACCAAGCGTTTGTTTTCCGGCAGAAGAAATCTAGAAATAGACTGAGTTGCAGTAAATGAAGGCTCCAAGGTGATTGGCTTCTTTCATGTATTATGATTGTATACTACTCTAGCCAATTAATTTTTCTATCTTAACTGACGTGGTGAGAGTAAAACTCAAAGGTTGATAGTCATTTTCGACCTGCGTGGATTGGTACTTCTCCACTTGGTACTTCTCCATTTGCTGAAGTACTGTCCTACCGAAGCTCCTAAAATCGTTTCCCTTAATTATAAAACTGGTCGCGATCTCCTTTTCCCATGTCCCATAGAATTAATTTTAATTGTTTTTACCTTTATTTGAGAGGTACTGGAATGCTTAACACATTTTTTCATAGCCTATTGCTATGATGGTCAATGCTTTCTTTTCTTTTGGCATGGAGGAAAGGTGTATTACCCTTAAAGGTTTAATCAGTGCGTCTTGATGATTCTCGTTGTTCGCCGTCTTTTTTTTTTCGTTATTTTCTTCATGATCAGTTTAGGTTTCTTAACCCTTTGCTCAACGGCCAACCTGCATAAAGTGGTCATTTGGTCATTCCCGAAGGTAATAGGTGTGACTGATAAATTTCACCGTGTGTCTACCCCTGAAATTAATGTGCGCAATATTGCAGGGCCCAGTTGTTCGAAAGGATAAATCTTTATTCAATGGATAGCGCGATTGGTTTCCCTAATAGTTATTTATAGAAGTGTGATTTACCGGTGGATGGCGGAATTTCGAATTTGTTTCCGAACTTTCTTGGATTTACACGGTACAACTTTACCGCGAGCGATCTGCTTGTAGTTAATTGCGATAAGCATACGTCATCCATTGGCTAGTTTCACGGGCGGCTTAGAGTCATGTCGAGGGTTTCTTGCAAGCTCATTAACATTGCATGCGACAAAATTATGCCGTACATCAAATAGGCCTTTATAGTATTGCATTTCATTCACAGGAAACGGTGGAGGAATGGAAGTCTGGCTGATAGTTGTTCTTGTTGTTGCCACGCTTCTTGTGGTTCTGATGCTGGTGATCATCATTGTAAAGTGGCGGCAAAACATACTAAATAGGAAAATGGCCAGACTCGCTCAGAAATGTGAGTGTCATAATTAGTGGAACTCAATTCATGTGCCTTCGGAGAGCAGGGGCAGCTAGTTGGCACGTCGAACGGGATTTTTGTGGGCGAAAATTCTTGTGAAGCTTTCGCCCATGAAAATTCCTTCGTTCCGACTGGCTGCCCTTGTTTTCCAAGTATCTTTTTCATTTGGGTCAACAAAACAGTGCAGTGTTGCTTAAGTAACGTGTAAATGAGCTTCAGTCAGAGGTTAATCACAGTCTTGTCGTGGAAATAAAAACAACAAAAGGAAGTTTATTCTTGACCACTTACACTGTTACATTGCATGTTTGGTAAAGAAATAAATCGCGTAACCTGGTTTACAGACGAGGGACAGTACATCGTAAAGGGCTGCAAACCTGCCTGCCTTGGGTGGAAACTGAACTCTTGCACTAACACTTGAGCCCACGAAATTTGACTATAAATCGATTTGATTGGCCACCTATGGATACTGTCGTGAGCAGAAAGCTCTTACGGACTCCTTTACAAAACTCCGTTAGCATTCCAGTACAAGCTCTGCTTACACTTAACACTTTCCCATAGGCAGCCCTGCCCGGACACTATCAAAGGATATGATATCAGTAGTCTCGCACAGCTCTCCATCCGTTGATCACACAGTGCACTGACATTACTGTGTTATTTGTTGTGATAAGTCTAAGGACAATAAAACAAAGCGAATAGCATTGTAGTATGGGGGACGTTTCTCTCATTACAGGCCGTCACTTTTCTTTATATTGCTTATTGGCTGCTTACGGGATCATTGCCAGTTAGTCACGGACACTTTTCTCAGGCTTTCCGTGGGTGATGTCCGCTGACAGGGTAAAGAATTTCAACTGTTCTTCATTTTTCGTTAACAGATGAGCAAGAAAACTTGTATCATGCATTTGAAAACGACGTGTTCGTTTCATACAGCTTCGAAGACTACGATTGGGTGGTAGAAACTCTTCTACCAGTGCTTGAAAAAAGAAACGTCAAGTACTTCGTCCGTTCGCAAGATTTCAAACCAGGCAAAGGATTTTACGACAGCATGGCCAATAGCGTGTATAACAGTCGAAAAGTGCTTTTGGTCATGTCCGCAAACTACTTCTCCAGCGATTTCTGTATGGAAGAAATGCAGATGGCACTGTACAGATCAGCAGAGCGTGGTGATGACTCGCTGATTCTGGTTCGAATCGACAACACCGAAATCAAAGACATACCAAAGACTCTTCGACACAAGACGTTCATTGACTTCACCAGCAGAGAGGAAGTGGCCACGTGGCAGAACAGGATTCTTGAAAGCGTTGTCTCTGAGGACAGGTCAACTTTGAATGGGACTCCCCACGAATGCACGGATAGTACGGGGGCCTCTGATACGTTCCAGCTCATTCTGTAAGCTCTCAAGCTATAAAGGAAGAACAAAACGGACGATCCCAAGGATCTTACACATCAGGCTCGGAGATTTTAGGGTGTGTTATAACTGGAGCAGATTGATTAGATCATGACATCACTTTTAGATTCATAGTTTTGATAGAGTTGTTAGCTCACGGTCGCACATGGCTTCTTTCGAACATAACTGAAATTGAAATTTTCTTTTTTTCGCAGTCTCCTTAAGACGTTTTTTTCACACCTGACAGCTAAAGCTAAGCCACATAGCTCTGCTCGTAAGTCTTGTATCTTTTCGTTTCTGCAAGGGCTCCAAGTCTTTTCATATTTCCCTTCTCTTACGTGATCCCCCTCGCCCTCCATGGGTCCCTGAAAAACAAGATATTTTTTAAAAAATATTTGTTGATGTAACAGTCGGTGGCCGTGGCACCAATCAGAAAGAAGGCCTGGTGGGGACGGGGATTTCATGGCGGGTCGGCAATGAAAAGTCGATTTGCGATTTTATATGTTTTCGAATGTGTGCTACCCTCAAATTTTAGTTATTTGTCCTCCTTTCAAATACACTTATATATAAGGTTTGCAGTTAACGTTTCTTATTTGAAAATTTATAACCAGCCTTATTCTCATTCGCCCTCGGCGATTTCGAATGTGTCGTCACCTGTCAAGCTTGTCGGGAGAATAGACCTCTTTTAGCTTGTATGTTTTGTTTTCCCAATACAGGTCATGTGATAATACTCTAGGGAACTGTTTCTTTCAAATTTCGTCTTATTCACGTGCACATGTACGCGTAATTTATGAAAAGACAAAGGGTCAAGTTCCTCTGGGACCTCTATAGGGAAAACAAAACTTAGGAAAATACAAGCATAAAAACAATGGTTTATCTATTCATTTTGGGCAATTCGGTTCTAAGCCCCTAAAGAGGTCTATTCTTCCCCCCCCTCCCCTCCTGTAATTAGCGCCAGCAGGCGTGGGGACGAGGGTGTAATTTAACCCCTTTTTCCTCTTCATTGAGGACGTCACCCGCTGCCTAAAAGAAATAGAAAACTGTCACAAGCATTAGTTCAAATACCATGTGAAGTGTCGTCAACGAATCAATGCAAAATATCCAACCCAAGAGAGGCGGAATGGCTCTAACGTACCGCGTGCATCTCTCCATTATTACTTAGGTGTAAAAAGGGTGAGAGAAAAGCACATAATATAAGTAGTGTCCCGTCGTTTAACTACAAGCTGTTTCAATTACTATACGTTTTTAGTCACAAGCTATGCTGTTCTCAAAGCTAAGCTAAGCGGGGAAAATAAAACAGTATAATCTTCGATAAATCGCTTGACGTCTTTACGCCGGCTTGATTCATTATAACTGAGATCTTGGTTACAATTTACAACAGTTGAATACCTGCTCTTAGCTCTTTCTGTCACAGTAATTTTCAACCTCGTCCCCAGGGCTTTTCCCTCAAAAAATGGGTGGGGCGGGGCCCCACCCATTTTTTGAGGCAAAAGCCCTGGGGACGAGGTTGAGTAATTTTGGCCTTTTTCTCGGCTCGGTAGCCAGTAGCCCACGTTCGAGCTCCGTGAATTTAAGGACAAAATTGCATATTTTTTTACGACTTTATTGTCTCGCAAATCCCAGAAGAGACTGGAACATGAAAAAGAAAACAAATCAAATATAGAAATATGACCAGAAAGCCTCGGACGCATGTTAGAATTTTAGAAACGGCAGAATACTTGAATGAATGATAAAACCACTGATTGAATGGTGAACGAAAAAACCGTTTGTGGTAACAATGTATGCTTGCTTGCCTTCTGTGATTCAACTATAACATCTACCGTTCAGTGATCATGACTTTCTCCTCCGCAGAGGCTCCCGCTGTGTATCCCCCGAGGTGGTTACTCCCTTATATAAGCCATATAAGTATGTGCCGCCCCATCGCGTAGGGTTTCTGCGCCGTTTTGGTCTGAAACGGGTACACACTTTGCCCATTTTGGGTTGGAATCGGGTATGCTTTTCGAAGGAACTACTCGAGTGTATGAACGTAGTTATCGTTTCAATTCCAAATAAGTAAGAAAGAAAGAGAAATGTGCGATTTCGAAATGGATTTGAATAATTTTTTTTTGTTTGCGCTCTAATCTAAGTAATGATAATATAATTTCTGCCTAAAGGCCAGGCCCCGGTTGTTCAAAAGGTGGATAAAGCTATCCATCGGATAAATCTTTATCCACTGGATTGTGCAATTGGTTTTCCCAGTACTTATCCACTGAGTGATTTATCCGGTGGATAGCGCTATCCATCTTTTGAATGACCGGGGCCAGGTCTGAAAACTAGTATGGATTTTAGAGTTCTAGTCTGAAAACGGGTGTGAAAAAATTACATTTTTTTGGTCAGAAATCGGGTCAGCATTTGAAGAACCGGGCGGCACACCCCCACCAAGAATTCCCAGGAGTATCACGCGGGGGACGATGGGAAGAGGGAAAAAGCGGGAGCCTCTCTTCTCTCTTTCCCCTTCCCGTCGAGCCCCGAGCGCTCTCTTTTTCTTTCTCCCCAGCCTCCCCACAACACAAAGAGGCCTCTGCGGAGGGGTCAGCACTCGTTAACATCCCGTCGAAAGGCCCTCTTATCTTCGGCAGGAGCCGATCGGCTATCAATTTTATTTAAACATGGTAAATGGCTCAGCAAGCTGGTTTTCAGACATGCCGTGTGATAATTACAAGGTATAAAAATTAACACTAGTGATTAACTTACAATAGTTAGCACAAGAATTGACTATTTTATCTGTTCCTATCGACTCTCCTAAACGTGACCATCTAGTTTGTATGGTACGCAAGACTAATAATACTAATAAAAAATAGTAATAATTTGAAGGCAATATAACAACGAGAAATAAGTCATTAAAGAAATAAGATAAAAACATAATAAAAAGTGATATCCTAGGATATTGCGAGTTTAAAGCTAGTAAGATCTCCCATCTCACTTGTTTTATTTGACAGTTGGTTCCACCTTAGACAACAACCACCTCAACCAGGTTGTGGCATCCAGGGGTGTTAGTGTGGGGTGCTCAGTCTCGCGAGCTCATAAAACCTGGTCTCGGTGGTTCTTATTGAAGGATTTTCTTGGTTCTAAGCCATTGAACCCTGCACCTCGATAAGAAAATGAACGCTTAAGAAAGTTTGTTCGAGATAGGTAGTGGTAGTTGGAGATCATAGTTAGAACCCCTCAAATTATAGTCATGAATTTAAGAGGTTCTATGAAACCGCTCCCGAAGGTACGTTGGACAATTATTATTGAATACTTTAAACATATACTGTCTTCGGTCGGACTTCGTAAACGTATGATGTCATGCTCACCTCGTGGTTTATGATTCACCTGTGACTCATGTATTCTTTTGCTTCGCTTCGATTGTGATGTTTGTTTCGAGGTCTTGTCTTGCTTTTTCGATCATCCCTCGATTGATTCATCTCAGAAGATGCCACTGCATCCGTTTGAAAAGGATGTTTTAATGTTTCGCCTCATCAAGAAGGTCCTTTCAGTGGGTGTTACTGAGTAACATCCCTTGAATGGCCCTGGATCGAATGGCATCCATGAAGAATTACTCGAACAAAAAAATAAATTCAAATGAACCGCTACCCCATTTCACAACTTCTTCAAAATGTTGGCGAGAATAATAGAATCCATGAGTGAAATGTCTGTCTCTCTCGAAAAATAATGAATGTTTGCACTAAGTTATCTGATAATCTATATTCCGGTTCAACCGCTGAAGAAGCCCACAAGCTCCAAGATTTTGAGACTCCGGATAATAAAAGAAAGTAAAAAAATTCCCCTCAGTATTGGCATTCAAGTTATTATTTAAAAATAACATCTTACATTTAAGGTGCTTTCTGTGGATAGATGAGGTCCCCAACTGTAAGCAAAAGAAAAAAGCCTTACAATATTTTTAAATTATCTTTAATTTATTTAATTTCAATATCTACATTGAAGGCAATTTCCTTTCAAGAAAAAAACTACCCCTGTGCAAGAGCAAGTGCATGCATTTTGAGAACTGAGAAAATTCGAGAAAATCAACATAATTTGTCTTTAAAGGTTTTGCGACTAACATGCATTTCTAGTAATCATTTTTCTCCTTTGGTGTCGTTGTGCATTTTTCTCAAGAGTGGTTAAAGTGCCCGGAAAAGTGGTAGTAAATGAAAACTGAAAATACACGAAGCTAGGGGAAACGGTTATCACCTAGACAGGTGTGATACATGTAATACAGTATGCTTCCCAGCTGACCTCAGTCACCTCTATCGTCCATCCGAATTTAACCCAAATAAAACATCATTGTTGATTGAGAAAAGATTATTATTTTAGTAGCGTGATATTATTTATTTTAATATCGTATGAAGGAAAAGATTCAATACCTACTGTAATGAAAAAGTTCTTTTTCGTTAAAAAAAAAGACATTCCCCACTACGGCCCTTCCGGCCATGTTTTCGTCATGGCATTCCCACCGAATTGGTCTAAAACACAAAATGCATGACTCGGTGGAGTACGTTTATCACAGGAAACTGACACACCGGTCATACAACCGGCCCTCTGGAAGTACTAGAGAGCTTTAGCATCGATGACGGTGACGGCAGCGAAAAGTCACCTTTTAAAATGAATTCGCGTTTTTTTCAAACTTTGTCGCGTTTATTCCCATTAACTGAAAATGTGAAATGTGGGCGAGTTTCCCTGGAGTTGATTTCTTGGGGCCGGACTCAAGTTTACCCGGAGTTTAAAAAGAGAAAGGAAAATTCGTCGTCGCTTCTTTACGTTCTCCATAACTCGTGAAATTAGGCATTTTCACGTCGTAGTCGTGAAGTGACGGCAAAGAAATGTACAAAAAAGTGTGATACACGTGCAAACTGGATGTTTTGCTAATCAAACCTATTGCTTTTTTGCCGCTCTCGTTGCCGTCGCCGTCGTCGTTGCTAAAGCTCCCTACTGATCGCTTTCGCGCCGGCCAATCATGCATGACGCAAAGGGTGGGTAGTGAGTAACGCCGATTATGATCTATTGTTCAGTCACTTTATAATTTTGACCAGTTAGTAAGAAAACTGCAACAAGTTTCGACTTCCGAATTCTTTCCAATATTATTATATGTATTCGACTTTGCCGAAAGAAAAATATATATGATATTAAAAAGTGGGGATTATATTGTTCAGTCTCTGTGTAGTATTGTTCTTTGTGATATTTAAGTGATGTGACGTCAAACTGACAGCCTAGACAAAATATGGCTGCTTCAAATGACTTCAATACTTTCCCGCGAGCATACCCTACTTTCAAATATGGAAGTGATGAAAGGCTATAAAGCCTACAAAGCTCGTTTTTATTATAATTATTCAGAGCTATTTTAAAATTGCTTCCTACACTCTACTAGCACCGGGACCAATCCTTGGTCCTGAGGTACCAGGGGAGTTTTTTATTTGATCGACAGAAACCACAGGCAGGGAATGTCTTTTTTTTAACGAAAAAGAACTTTTTCATTACAGCAGGTATTGAACCTTGTTCCTTCATACGATATTAAAATATATAATATCACGCTACCAAACTGAATAATCTTTTCTCAATTAACAATGATCTTTTATTTGGGTTAAAAGCCGATGGCCGATAGAGGAGACTGAGGTCAGCTGGGAAGCATACTGTATTACATGCATCACACCTGTCTAGGTGATATCCGTTTCCCCTTCGTGTATTTTCACTTTTTATTTACTACCACTTTTCCGGGCACTTTAAGCACTCTTGAGAAAAATGCACAACGACACCAAAGGAGAAAAATGATTACTAGAAATGCGTGTTAGTCGCAAAACCTTTGAAGACAAATTATGTTGATTTTCTCGAATTTTCTCAGTTCTCAAAATGCATGCACTTGCTCTTGCCACAGGGGTAGTTGTTTTCTTGAAAGGAAATTGCCTCCAATGTAAATATTGAAATTAAATAAATTAAAGATAATTTAAATTTGCTTACCTTGGGGACCCCATCTATCCACAGAAAGCACCTTAAATGTAAGATGTTATTTTTAAATAATAACTTCAATGCCAATACTGAGGGGAAATTTTTACTTTCTTTTATTATTTTTACGGGTTGATGGCAAATTTAAAATAAACATTCGGAGTCTCAAAATCTTGGATTAGCTTGTGGGCTTCTTCAGCGGTTGAAACGGAATATAGCTAGATTATCAGATAACTTTGTGCAAACATTCATTATTTTTCGACAGAGACAGACATTTCACACATGGATTTTTTCTTTTCGACTTTCTTCCGAAGAAAGTCGACTAA